AAACATCTGACTACACAGAGGCAAATTCATCCTCGGGAATGTATGATTTTTAGTTGCTAAGAAAACCATAAAGGAACAGCAGTATACCTAATTGCATATTTTATTACGAGCTGAAAATACTTGAGAGCCCAATCCTATGGTGTTGAATTAACCACGGCAACTCACGTAAAATGTCGTCTGAATCCAGATCGCAGGATTTCGCTTACGGAAGAGCAGTCCTGAGCTGTGGTCTATGAAATCACAGCACCAGGCTGCGCATGGTCTGTGCAAACCTACTGGGCTGTATTCTCCACAGGGGTTACCACGGTGTAGGTACATTTGTGCAGGATGAAATCTGAGGGCTGCGAACGGTATTCAAATGCAAAAAAACTGAGCAATGCTGCTACAGACCAAAGGGTTAATTTCAAATCAATTCAGTGGGAAACACAATGGTCTTTTTAAAGACTATTAAATGATGCTGTTGTTAAACTAGCACCATCCTGACTTCGGTGTCGAATATTCACTTTGTAAGCTCCGAAGGAGACAAAAATTACTAAGTAAATCATTCAGCCTTTAATATTGTAGAGGTTTGTATCTGTTGTACTTTTTGGCCGTAATGAAGGAAAATACTTTCCAAACGTACTACTGATTTTCAGCTCGATACGTCATTGAATGTGTTGATTTAAAGACAAAAAGGGCAATGTTTATGTCCATTTCTTAAAATTACAAAAATATGCAGTGATTGGAAATCTGATTATTCCAAAATGAGATCTAAGACAGGCTATCAGTAACAGAAAGAAGTACAAGTAGAGCCAATTTTCATTTAAGTGCAATTACAGAGCGCAAGCTTAATAGATGTTCTTTTCATGCAATGCCATTCACAGTACCTTATGAAATAGGAAGCCATTCCAGGGACTACAACTGGAAAATTAGCTGCTAGTGGCATACTGTATTTCCAAGTACAACATGGCGTACTGTACTGTAGCGTTAGCCAAAGCTTGAGGCCTCAACAAGGTAATAATAAAATTCATTGTGATGTCAGTTCAGAGCTTTTCATAAAAAAGAAAAAAAAAAAAATCTTAGTTCTACAGTTTCAATTTTACCAAAATAGTGCAGGTTTTTCTCTGTCATCAGCTATGTCATACTTTACCGACTAGACCAGTGAAATATATGTTTAGATGTCTTTGAATTTGCTCCATTTAGCAAGGCAGCTATCCAAAATTACTCTGAAAGTTTTAAGTTGTTTTTGCACATTAGTATTTATTTTTAAAATTTACCTTTCAGGAAAAATGATTTTTTTTGGCTTTCGCTAATGAGAAAAACCCACCACAAGGCAGATGGCTGTCAGCACAAAAGATACGCTGGTCCATTAACCTGGTATTTAGAGTAGCAAATATCAGCAGTAACAGAAAGAAGACTTGAGGTAATTTTACAGGAACTGCACCATTTGCCAGCACAACACTATCAGCTCGCTAACTGGAGCCAGAACGTTTTAGGACATCGCATGCAGCTTGGTGATCAATGCATTCTGCATGGTTTGTATTGCAGGTTTGTGGAAGGAGGGCAGGAAAAACGAGAATTCGCGTGATGAAAAGCTTTGTTCCTTATATGAACGTGCCTCAGTTCTTGGTGCTTCTCTGGAGGGTGTCTGGTGTTTCCTCACTACCTGAAAATTCTCACATACAGTAGCACAACCTAGTGCTTGAGTGCTGCAATAACATGTTGAGTGGGGGAAAGCTCACCACACTACCTACCTCCAACAGGTTTTTAGATACAGCTGCAAATCCTTCTTGCATTCAAAGCAAGGCTGAAGTCCTTGTATTAGAAAAGAAGTTGCTGAGCCTAATTAACAGCACAAACACACTGCTTAATCGTCTCCTCCTTGACTCGAGGCAGAGTCACAAGAAGGAATTTAAACAGCGTAAACAGCAGAGGAAGCAGTCTAAGATGATGGGGTGTTTCTGACCAGTCATGCCTTTTAACCAGATTCTGTATTCCTCTTGCAATGAGAAAACAGAAAACACTTCTGCGTCCTCACTGAGGACTGGCGCCAGCTAGCATGTATCTTAATCAAATCAGCTACCTTCAGAAAACCATTACCAGCAGAGACAGCACATGACCAGCTAAGAGATTACAGGAGACAGCACATCTTCGAATGCCTTACCCAGAAAGGAAGTAGCAAAGACAGACTCTGGAGTTCATTACTCTTCGTGGGAGGAAAGGTCATTACAGCGAGATCATGTAAGCAAGGTCCTGGAGAGCAAACATTGCAGGTTCTTTCCTCTCAACGGGGAAGAAAGCTCTCTACCAGATAACTGAAAAGAAATCTCTAGTGAAGTCTTTTATACAAGTACCACCTCCGCCCCACAGAATGGAAATGATTAAAGCCTTTAGTTTTTCATTTATTTAATAACAGAGCAGTGTTGAAATGATCTTGGTTATGAACCACAGGGTACTTCAAAATTTCCTTGGAGGCATTACTATTTTAAGCGGTTTAACATAAAAGTACATTATATAGTAATTGCACACCATATGCTTTCCGTGTTTCGGTGTGAAGAGGCTGCCAGATGGGCTCTGATACTTCTAGCTTCAAGTGTCTGAATGGAAAAGATTAGAAGAAAGAAGAAGTGCCAGGATCACACTAAACAATTCTGTTTCTTATTTTGTACAGTATGTGGCAAATGCAGAGCTGGTAAGTTTTTTACCAGATGACAAAGATATTAACAAAGTAAAAGTTGTACAGGATGCTCAAGAAACTAAGGTATCACAGCCTAATCTGTTTTCTGATAAGCCATAAATGTGGTAAATTTGTAACCTAAACTAGTAGCTGGCGCTTCATTCTCATCCTTCTCCCATTACGCAGAAGGAAATGACTTGGCAATAATTCTCTTGCTTATCTTACAGACCAATTCAGAGAAAAAGGACAGAGAGGATGATACCTAAAACCAAAGGCACCTCCTAGCATCCATAAAAAATAAAATAGCCAAAAAGCTCATTTAAGGCTTGTAACTATTTCAACCTTTGCAGCAGTGCTATGTTCAAGCTCACAGAACAAGCAGGCGTGGGAAGGTGAATATTCGAGTAGATCTTCTACAAAACAGCTAGGCACTATGGGAGGCAGAGAGTCTGCACCTCGAATTTTCTGCATTACGACCCAACATCGTTTAGCACTTCACTCTTGGAGACCCCATACGGGGAGCAGATGTAGTCAAGGTATCTAACATGACAAAAAGGCAGGAGAACTCAAAACCAAACCCTGTGACTTTTAATGGGACTCTTATGCCTAACTCCTCCAGTTACTTCTGAAAAATTCTATTCTATCTATTAAACTCCTGCTGGCTTTTTGCTGCGATACAGCATCCTGCTGCTGCTTTCCTAAACTGCTGCCATGTACAGACTGAACAAACCGATTTCACTTCGAACAGGATGGCTGTTTCACACTACCAGAAATGAAAGATGCTCACTACTTCAACAAACAGTTTGCTGCCAATTTTAATCCATACTATCAGGTCTTTACAGTAAACATAGTATTTTCTCCCTGTTTCAATACATCCATGTCAGAACATAATTAAGATACGCTATAAGCCAGCTACACGAGGACTAACACCGAGATACTGACCTGGCAACTTCTGTTCTACAAAAGAAAGCACTGCAAGCAAAGTTACAATAGCCATGACAAAGCTGCCAAGTACCAGCACCCCCGTGTCTGCAGTGACAGCAGTACTGTGATCAGAGCTGCTGATATACTGGATGTGAGCGCAATTGTTTGTAGAGAGGGGGCACTGAAAGTCAACAAAATAGCTGACAATTTGCTTCCTACTCAACTTACTATGCTTTGGATCGGGTAAAAACTTGCCTTGTAGCACTGCACTCTCCAGAGGCTCTCACTTTGCTTTTCTTTTTGTGAGGCAACCAGATTACGAGCAAGAGCCACCCTCCCAGAGCACGAATTCCTTGGGAGTCCTTCCAGCAGGGATGAAAAATGCAGTCACTGTCTATACAGCATAAACTACTCCTTTGTGGTGAAGAGGGAGTCATTTCAAAGCAACAAAATCTTTGTTCTTTCTGCTTTAAAAATCAGATGACTGATTAGAGCTATCCAAGCAAGTAGCCAACTGATTCCATTTCTTTGGAGTCTGATTATTTACAACAGGCTTCACTCATACTCTGCAGAGAGGTTCAGGAGGATTATGTGTTTCAAGCACTGTGAACAGGCACTCGCGCCACTGCCAAAAAGGAAAAATGCCCTTTGAGTCATCTTGTAACTGTGAAGGAGATCTTTTATTTTCTATGCAAGACTTCCCAAAATAAGAGGAACGAACTGTATGTTCAGCTTTACTAGAAACTGCAGAAGGGGAAAGGTTGATTGATACAATATTTAGGTAACTGAAATGTACATCTCAGAAATCCTAGTGGACATAAATATCAGTGGACAAACAGCTCAAAAAGAGAAGAGCAGTTTGCCAAACACCAGTTAGAGAGCATAACCCTGAAAAATGATCTGTAGCAGCTGGGGTTCACAGATTCACATAAAACTTAACTTCCGAACAGCATTCCTTCCCATACACCTATATTAGGATTTTATTCACTTTTTATGTCCCTGCAATGCAGCCCCCTTTTTTGCCCATTAGGAATGAATGTGTTTTTGCTTAAAGAATTAAACTGAGGTTGGGTTGGGGTTTTTTTTGCAGTTCTCTTACTGTGTTCAAAACTCATTTACAACTTAAAATATTTTCTGAGGAAGAAGTTGTATGTACTCTGCTTTGTGCTTGGACCACATAAAAACACGCTAAAAAAGAAAATACTGACAAGAATCTGTTTGAGAAATACATTGGCAAACATAGGCCTGCTTAAAGGAATACTCATTCTTGTAGGCATTAATGACTAAAGGAAAAAATGTCTGGATGAGTATTTAAATTATGGCAGAAAATACTTAAAACATGTTAATCAAACCCAGACAGATTATCATTTCAACACTTCCACGAATTTATACTTTTATTCAAAGGCATGTTTCTACTTACTTGGTTAGCTTATGGCCTTTCATTGCTACGAGGAAATCTTTCACAGTCTCAGGACTCTGGTATCTACAGGGTGTTTTTGAAATGTACTTCAGTGTCTGCAAGGGATAGGAAGAAAGTATACGTTATTTCACAGTTACTATTTGCTTTACCAGTTGTGTATGAAACATACCGATCTTGAAAAGTCTCCTCAGTACTACTCAGAAAAATTGCAAAAGTCAATTCAGGTTTTGGGGTTTGGCTTTTTACTTTTTTTTACTTTTACTTTTTACTGTATTGGTATTTGCTGAGGCAGTAAGAAACAGGCAATATCTAACTACAACAGTATGTAATGGAAATTACATTAGTTCTTATCCAGAAACCCCCAGTGAATTCATTCCGTACAGACACGACCCAGCCAGCTCATTACACAGCCAGGTGAGAATTACACCTCTGACTATTCCCTCTGCAGCTTTGGACGGCCATTTATCCGATGCCTTCAAAGCCCAAAGTCACATGCCAAAGAGTACAGGGAAGGAGCAAGTTGTAGCTTTGTCTACTAAAAAAACACCTGCTGGTTCTGAAAGACGTTTGCTTTCTTGGTTTGAAATAATCCCAGGTGATGCTATGACTGTGATCCAGACATACTCACAGCTGTGCTGAATACTATCACCCAGATTTACTTTTCCTTCTAAAACCAACAGATACTTACAGATTCAAAGCTAGCTTAAAAACATACCAAGATACGAGGTTTGGGGTGGGGTGGTGTCCTGGGGTTTTTTTGTTGTTTTGGTTTGTTTTTTTAAAAGCAGTAACACTACAGAAAAGCTGAATACTATTCATCCTTAAAACCATGTTACCTTCTGCCACGCTTTCATGTGCTCAGTGCCAGGGATACTCTCACTGCCAACCCATAAATAACTCATTAAGCTCTCCAACCTATGGTTGTTTTCAACCTTTATATGCATATTTGGCAATACTTTAAGTCTTAAAGTTCATAGAAGCAGGTTAGGTGGGTTGTGATGAAGATCTGCAATAATACTGTAGTATTAGAAATGTTTATCTGACTGGAGACAATTTATCTTTGCTCCATTTTTCATATGTAACACCTACCACCCTCAGCTAATTCTTGCAGCAGATGTTACATCTGCTTTCTTTAATTAAAACAACACCTAGCACACAAATAAGACATAATGTAATCTGGCTAGAGAAAAAAAAAACAAACTGTCAAAAAAACACTCCCCACAAATTCCAGTGCACAGCTGTCTCTTCACTGGAAGTAACTTCGAGTCTTCCTGAATGTTGCTTTGATTAGAACCCAAAATGAAGAGTTGGAAATGAGCATCAATGAAAAAGTCAAGGAAATGCTTGCATTGCCTGCACTGTCTGCATCAGTAACTGAAGGATTTAAAAGAGTATTGTCAATGCTTGTTTTGAATTAAAGAAAATCTTCATCTGTTGATACTGCACAGCTATACATAAAGCTTAAAAGAATCAATAAAGCTGACTCCTAATGTGCTAACTGGATTGCAGATACAGAGACACGTGTGGCAGGATGCACAGATTACCTATAATAATAAGAAAAAACCCATAAAATTCTATGGATACTCTGAGTTTCTTTCTCAGAAAATTTTTAAACTGAGGATTTCTATTTGAAAAGTCTGAAGCCAGAAAAGCTGAATCGGTATCTATGGAGCAGAAAACAACAGATATTGGGGAAAAAAGTGAGCTACGGGATCAGTGCAGCAAACATGCAAATACATTTCCAATGTATTTCCATCAAAATCTGTTATCATTAAAAAATGCTAGGTAATGGAAAACAGACTTCAACAACACAAGATGATTCATCCTACTTAACAGCGAGTGTTGATGAAATACGAATCACTGCTATTCTTAAGGACCGGTTTTATCGGACTACTGAGAAACATTGAAAAGCACAATGAGGTGTTACGTAACCGTCTCTTCTCCAAGTTCAGTCCTGACGTTTTCAGATAAAATGGAGTTACTGTACACCAATAATGACTGAAACAAAGTCATCGTATTATGACGTAATAAGCTTATTTAATAGGATAAATTTCTTTTCCAGTTTAGTCTTTTTCAGCAATTTCAGATCAATTAAAATGCCAGACATACAGCAAAACATAGCTCCAGTTTAGCGAGCTTCATCTAGTTATTTCATTACCAAGGGATACAAGCCTGCACAGAGCTGATGAAGATATACTCAGCATGAACAAAAACAACCCTGCAAGATCAAATTCTGGTTTTCTTTTGGTCAGATATAGAGAAAATGTACCTAGAGTTTACACCAGCTTCACTCCATGCACAAAAACAAGCACCCTATAGGTATTTAACACGTAGCAATGTAACAAGGCAATTAGAAGTTTAGGGTGTATTCTGACAAAATATACTTACAGGATCCTTCTCAGCTGTTTCAAAGAGGTACAGGAAGAGACTGTTCGTCTCCATTAAGATTTAAATCAGATTTTTTGTAAGCCCCTACTTTATTGAATATGAGGCTTAGGAATTACAACTCTATACCTTTTCAAACAAAGGCAGAACTAAAACAAAGCCTAGGCCAAATCTTCTTCACATGAGTAGTTTCACTGCTCAACAGGATTACTCATGCAAGCAAGGCAAACTGCTTTCAGCACACTGTCAACCGTGGTGCTACTCGTGCAATTCTCTGACACGGACACAATAGGTCATACTGCAATTCTGTTATGAAGTTGCTAATTTGAGACATTTGAGATGTTAATCTTTGTATTATATGATGTTAAAAGTTCTTCCTAGCAATAGATGGAACATTTATTACCAGTCCAGCATCCAACTGATGTTGTGATCCATACATATGATTTTGTTATTCAGGTTGTCCATCTCTGGCTGTTTTCACATCAACCAAAAAAACAAAACAAAACAAAAAACTCTCAAAAACTCAAAAACCAAAAAAAAAAAAAAACAACCCTAAAAGCAAATACAAGAAAATACCCATACCTCAGCTTTGAAACCATGATTAGGTGGTGTCATCAATTCATCAGATGACAGCAAGTTCTGCCCTGGGTCTTAAAAGGATAGACTATTTGGAATCAAAAAATCCCACAAAACTAAGCAGATAACATACAAGGGGGGTTTAATTCTTTTTGTGATAGATTTTAGTACGAGCAGCTGCATGCCTCTGCCTTGACAGCGCAGTTAACCTACAACCTGAATACACTGACCACAGAAAAGTAGTAAAACAACCCCTGTTACTGTGTGTTTTAGTAGGGAAAATCTGATAAAAGTTATTAATATACAGACCTAAGGATATTAAACACTCCAGCTTGGGCTAATTTGCAAAAGAATTTCACAGTGCTACTCACTTCATACATGATTGTGTTCAGATTCTGCTGACCAGAGCTCTGCTTATTTTTTCCGCTCTCTTTGCGCTGCTGCTTAAGATCAGTAAGTAACTGGAACACCTGGGAAAAAAAATAAAAGTGTTTTAGACCATTTAAGAGTATTTTACCTAAAAATATTACAGCAGGAAAACATAAATAAACAATGCAAAATCCTATCAACCAAACAAAAAAAAAAGAGCATGGCTCTTTTGGCGAATGCACCAGCAACTGAAATGAAAAATATCTGGCACTAGAATGATGAATAGGTATGTAAATTGTTTTTGTAAAATTGTGACAATTTTAAACAGATTTTTGGCACTTGTTAAACGTTATCCAAGAGGCCCAAGGGAGAAGCCGCCAGGATGAATCTATCCTACTTGTTTATCTTCTCTCATGTCCTGCACAGAGCTGGGTCATACACAGCTGTACTGGCACAGAGCTCCCATTTAAATACGAGTGATGCTTGAAGCAAAATGTCACACAAGTTTATAGCTCTACTTGATTTGTTATGACAGATGTGCCTATAATATTAAAATGGATATATATCTTCTCTCACAGATGTGCAATTTTACACTCTCTGCAAAAAAAGAGTAAACTCTACAACTGTCACACTGCCAGGAACCAACTAAATCAAGGGCTGACCTATAGATGCTCCTGCAATTAGTGATCCTATTGTAAATTCCAGTGGAGTTATTCATAATAGTAAATGTTACAGTGACCATTATGGTGTTATGGTACGTTAAACCACAAAGATTAAATTAGCTCCGTATTTCATCACAACAATGTAATACAAGCAGACATTCTTGAAAAGAATGTAATAAAGTTGTCTTCACATTTATGATGCAGTGAATATTAATGCAGGAGTGAGATTCAGTGGGTTAAGTCTGAGGACAAGAAAAACGTTTTGATTTTTGCAACTGTGCTTTGTCAAACCTGTTGCAACATCGCAACATCTTTATCCATCATAGCTACAAGTGCAGCAGAACGTTGAGACAGCCTCACAATCATTCTTTTATTCCAATATTAAATCAAATTACATTGAAATTTCTTCAGATGTTTTCCTTCAGGCTTTACGGTATATAGAGCCAATAGCCACAGCAAAGTAACAGACCACTTCTTACCATTTATCCCCTAATTATTATAAACTGAAAAGTCCATAGAAATAAGAACACAAACATTTCTAGACAGTGAGAATTAAGAACATAGCCAGCTACAAATCCTGCAATTACTTTCTACTGCACCTTCTATGAGAAAGGAACACCTTGCGTATCAACCACCAGCAGTCAATCCTGACTTGAAAGCCAAAACTTCAGCTATGAACTTTTATCTAATAAATATTCGAAGAAAACGTAGCCGGTGACAACAAAACACAAAATGACAATTCCAAACTCACAGAAGAAATGTAGGCATGGAACATACAACATGTCAGTCCTGAATACTCCTTTCAAACACCACTTTCTGTGCAAAATATTACCTTGATAATGTTTGCTACGCCAGTCAAATTGCAACTGAAAAGAGGAGCAAACAGAAACAGAGTGGTAGTTTTAGGGGAATCAGTACTTTGCAGAGCAGTAAAACGCCATGCCCCAAAAGCCTATAGCTGCAGACACTGCAAATCCCTTTCTGCAAAGAACTGAAAAGCTGCATGCATGACAACTGTGCTGTGAAAGGGAAATGAGAAATAAGCACTCTCATCAGTAACTCCGTTTTCCACTTCCTTTCACTGTTTTTCAACACACATGGTACATTCACCAACATAAAGACTCAGCTGAAGAAAGCTCCGACTGAAGAGCACAAAGAATGGATTCTGCAGTCCTCCCTGTTCTGGACCAGACCTTTAGGACATCTGTAGATTTTACATGATGCGGCTGACACCACTACTCGACCCTCAGCAGGCAGCAATATCTCCATTCCAACAACGTCTCAGCAAATGAAGATGAAAGCAGAGCTGATTTTGCAATAAACAAGGTCTGAAACAGTTGCTATTTTCTGTACTGCCATAGTACATGTTTTTAACAAACAGACACTTAATACTCGTTTGGCTGCCATAATATCATCTGCTTCTTAGGCAAGGCAGTTCTTTCCAAGTACCTCATTAAAGCTCTTCTAACAGTCACCAGATGGTTGCTCTGCTGTTCACAGACAGATGCAGCTCCAGATAAAACATTTCAAGATTTATTTCAGAATAGGACGAAACAACCTTGCAAGTTTCAAGCTTCAGCAATAAAACAACATAAACAAAACACCTGGGTTATCAAAACCATTCAAAAAATGACATTCATAAGCAAAGCACTGAAATCCTTCCATTACCTGGCTGAAGTTAAACCAACAAGAACACGACATTTCCTTCTACCTCCCTAACAAGAGACCTTCGCTCAGGAGAGAGGAAACTGATTCAGAACTTTTCTATGCTATAAAACAAGATTATTTTTTTTTTATTTGCATGCCAACATTCATTGTTTGACAGAGAACTGTAGCTTCCCCATGATGCTGGACCAAGGTACATCACTGGCTTCTAGGAGTGTTTATCCCGACTAACACATCACAGATCAGCAAACTGCCTCACCCTCCCTACAACCCACCCTGCTTCAGAAACACCTCAAGATCTTTTAAAAAATACTGTCAAGCATTCAGGGGTGTAAGACTACATTTCCAGTAGCACTGGCTTTAATATTACTATGCATTCGTAAGTTGAAGGTTCTCAGACGCTACTGCACATCACAAGGTTAAAGCTAAATACAAAACATAGATTCTAGCAGTAGCCATCTGTGAAAAATCTTTGAAATTTTCTGCAATAATTTTTATTCGCAATATTAAAGAGACTCCAGCAATCAGTCTGTCCCTCAGTGGTATACTGGCTTGCCATAAGATAAAATTAAAAAAAAAAAGCTAACTTGGACACTGCTGCCCAGTTACAAAGGCATCAGCGTGCTCATCTGGGATCTGATGCACCATACGTCACACAAAGCACCCGTGCATGCAGTGCACTTGCCCAAACACACAAGTGTTTAAAGACGTGGAGAATCAAATTCTAAATAACAAACCACCATACACAAGAGGATCCAGCAACCTAACCACACAGCAACAGTGTAAATACCACAAGGCTGAAGTTAAAGTTACCAACATTCTAAAGATTTGCTCCTCATCTATTTGAAAAACATATCTGTTTTTCTAGATTTGGGCTGAAAAAAGTAATAATACAGTAACCATTGCTAGTGAAAGCATTTCCAGACCTCCTTTAAAAAGCTTTCTTCTTAAAAAGAAATCAAATGCGGGGGACTGGAAATCACATACAGGTCTCGATGATCGCCACTGGCAATTTTCAGCTTCCAAAGAAGTACACAAGTGCCTGATTACAGCTTTAAACTGCAGGTTTGAAACCACGACACAGACAAACTTACCTCAAAGTTACTTAGCAATGCAGCATTTGCATCTTTTCTAAAAGGAAAAATGAAAACGATTATTTATGTTCCAAATTAAACTGTTTAAAGTTTTTTTTTGCTGAGTCACGTAGACTCTAAAAGAACAGACACTATTTTCATGAAGTTATTTAAATAAAAAATCCACAAGAAATCTGTTTCTGGTGATTCTACAACTACGAAGCTCTTACCACCTCTGGAAAATATTTTTACATATTGTTAGTAGAATTATTATGTAAATATACAGTATATTTTGCACAATTTGCCCTGTAAATCATAACACTTGTACAACATAATCCTTTCACTCAGCCACCCTATTTTCTCACCCAATTTTACAAACTAAAACCAAATTGCCTTGCTTCTTCCTCACAGAGGCCTCCAGTTTTATTTGAATAGAGACTGACAGGAAAGATAATGCAAATTACGCATACTATTTATTAGTCTAGTGCACAGAAAAAGAAAATACAATGACTATTTTAGTACCATGTACATACATGCATGTATAGATATGGCACTATAGTTACACATACTGTACTGAGTAAAAAAAAAACAACTTACTTTATTTCCACTTTATTTATTCTTTGAACCTTTATGTGGCTGCTCCTTTATTAGCAGGGCAAGGCTGAGAGCTTCCCATTTCCCACCTGCCAAACACTTCCCCAGCAATTCTATCCCAATTAAGCATGAACAATTATCCACCACTGGCAGGCTGAATGTACTCTCTTCAAATCAACTGCATATTGAGATTAATAATGCATCTATTACTACTGGATATTGTAACTGTATATTTTTAAATTTAAAAAAGGGAAAAATCATCTGATGCAGAACATCCTATATTCCCTGAACAACTCATTCTGCTGAGCAGTCAGTAGCGGCAACAACAGAAGGGTTCCACACAAAAGGAGAGAAAGGCCTTTCTCAGGTCTGTGCAGCAGTTTATTAAAAAAAAAAAAGAAGGAAAAAGGTACAATGTATTGTTAAGCACCATCAACTCTTTGAATAGAACTGTCACGTTCATCGTTTTCAAACACGTTAAACGCGTCCACAAACTTCCACAGGTTCTATCATTGTTTTTAAATGAAAAGGACCTTCTAAAATACGCTGAGATGAACTTCAACTTCCATTTCGCTGACTCGAGTGAAACTTCAGCAAGTGAGCTCACGCACGCATTAGTTTTCATTCATGTTTTACAAACCATATAGCTTTTGTTGTTAGGCAAATGCAATTCTTCAGAATGTTTGCATTCAGGCTATCGCTACAGAAATCCCTACGGATCAAAGACATTCTTTGTCAGAAAGAATAATGCTACAGATTAATTATATAGGGAATTATTCTGTTAAATAACTGAAAGGCTCATATAGAGTAAATAAATACATTACTATGCAGATGAGCCTGCGAAACCTATCTTATGTTAAATTATTCAAGACAGTTGCTTCTTTTTTAATTCAAAGCCAGTTTGTCCTTCAGAAAAATACTTATTTTTCTTCTAACAATGGCTAGCCAATGAGTCAGTCTCAAATCTTCAACATTTTCCGTTGTGCTGAAATACCAAAATTATAAATTCATAAACAAGACCAGTTTTGAAAACTTCTACAGAACTTCTAGAGTAGAAATACAATTTTCTTCAGTCCTCTCATGAAGCAACTATCAATTTTACATTCAGAAAACAAGAAATTGTAAGTAATGAATTATAATGTATATGTTAAAGTCAACTAAACAGTATGCTTAATTATTATGAGATTAAGTCTTAAGTAGAAAGGGAAAAAGTGTCCTATTAACACCAAATATATAAACACTTTTTAGAATCTTTAAATGGGTATTATTTACCCAAATTTTAGTCCAAATCAAAATATTATTGAGAAATTCTTCTGTGTATACCAAAATATATCTTAGTAAATGACATCACACCTCTAAAAATATCACTGAGACTTCATGTTTTTAAATCTACTACTTAAAATATGCTGCATATTTAAACCACAACATTTCCTAGAGGGTTCTTTTCTCTAGTAACAGATACTTCTGCCATGATCAGAACTTCCCTGTATGAAGGCCATCAGGCAGGAAGTAAAAGTTTAGGAAGATTAAATTCCAACAGCAATTCAAGTGCAAAATGGGCTAAACTGTTCCATTCTAACACAGGGGACATTCACCCACAGCTCAGCATGTGAACCTCCAGCTCTCCCACCTCTGACGTACCTTCCTTTTGTTACTAAAGGAGGTAGCACCAGTAAAATAAGTCGGGCTACTCAAGGTAGCAAAAAACAAGTGGATGTATAAGAAGCAGCATCACAGACTTACTATTAATGGTATCAAAAGCATTTTTCTCAGCAGGGCAAATCCTATCCTTCCTCACATGCAACAGCAACTTTCAGCCTGTGTATGTGCTTCGCAGCATTTTTCAGTATACAACAGCAAGAACAGGTCACCTCCCTGCAGGCTGCTACTGACGGTAAGGCTAACCTAATAAAACCCCGTATTTCAATGGATGCTTCTCATTTGTTATCTACTTTTGAATTTCATGTATAGAAGATTGAATTATTACAGTATAGAAGATTTAACACCAATAAAGCATCCATGGATAACGTCAACTGCAATAGCTCAGCTGACCGTGGTGGATGCTGACACACGCACTTCAGCGTCCTCCGTGCCGCGTACATGTATATAACCTCCCAATGTAATGGGCTCCACAGAACTCACGAGAATGAGTTTCTGAGCTTCAAAACGGTTCAAATCCTATTGTTTTGTGCCCAGCTGACACTAACAACATGCATAGTGCTGTTAGCGCAGGAAGGCGACAAGAGTTGCCACCTTGGATGGCAACCTGGGGGCCAGCTGGTGTAACCGCCCCAAATGACCACCTAGCCAACATTCTGACTCTCCTCTGGGTGTTTGCAATCGCTGCCGTACGCTCGTTAGGCTTTCTCCTTCTCCAGCATATTCAGCTCCTACAATGAGTGGTCTGCTCGATGCTCAGAGGAGTAACCCTCGGCCAGAAGCTGCGGCGGGGGATGCACGTTGCACCGCTCCCGTGGCAGCGCAGGAAAGGGAGCACGAGGGGACAGGAGAGCAGGGCAGATGGGGACAGAGAGCAGCATTAAAGCCGAGCCACAACGCCTTCTGCCCAAACAGAGGCACTCCAGCAGGATTTTTAAAGCAAAACCAAAACCCAACTCAGTTTCTCATCAGAATGCCTGAACTCACTGCTGGTTATACGGGTGTTAAAGGCCCGATATACCCCCTGTACAGTGCTGACAGGCCCATACAGACACACACACACCCCGGGGACACCCATATAGATACATACACATCAGAGGCAGGACCATATACCCACACACGCCGTGGGGAGGCCCGTATAGATGTGAGATGTAACCCCCATACACTGCTGGCAGGCCTATATCGACATACACACGCTGTGGGGAGGCCTACACAGATCTGCACACACACACACACACATCAGACGCAGGCCCATAGAGATGTTCCCCCCACACTCTGCGGGCTGGCCCATACCATATATATACAGATATACATCCCCCCCTCCCGGCGCTGCAGCCCCCGGTGCCGCCGCGGAAGG